CTGATAGACTACAAAAGTCGGACATAGACTCTTTTAGCTTTCTAAATATACTGAAATCATATTGTTTGGTTTTGTTTTCATGGAGAAAAATGCAAAAAACAAAAAAAAACACGACACTTTTGGGATTGCTTTACCTCATATCTCCACAATGGGAGCACTTCAGAACATAATTCAAACAGATTCAGGAAGCTACAGTGTAGGGCTACAACTTTTGTTTTTGACCATTTTTGGTAATTGGTCATGTGACCATCATCCCAACATCCCATTACATGGACCCTGATAGGTAAAATCATTCTCCTCTTGGTTTTCTTCACTTTTTGGTCAAACCAGGTGATATTTCCCTTTTGGGATGGAACCTGAAGGCAGTGCCTGATGTTCTGTATACCATTTTTATATATATTCAATTTTTCCGCTATTTTCTGGCTATTTTTGGATATATTACTATATTTGGAATTGGACCCTGGACCCTGACAATATTACCCAACATGATGATCAGCAATGAGCCCTAATTTTTCCTGATTTTATTGCTATTTTACATTTGGAAATGCACCCTGGACCCTGAAAGGTCAGCTGCCACTAAAAATGAAATATTCAATGAAAGCGCCAGGTACACATATGAAAAGTGCAATGAAATCTCCTAGGAATAAGAATGAAATATCCATTGAAAGCGCCAGGCATCCAAATGAGAAGTGCAATGAGATATCCTGGGGCTAGCAATGAAATATCCAATGAAAGCACCAGGTATATCTATGAAAAGTCCAATGAAATATCCTAGGAACAAGAATGAAATATCCATTGAAACCGCCAGGCATTCAGATGAAAAGCACAATGAAATATCCTGGGGCTAACAATGAAATATCCAATGAAACCGCCAGATATATATATGAAAACTCCAATGAAATGTCCTGGAGCTAATAATGAAATATTCATTGAAAGCGCCAGGTATCCATATGAAAATTGCAATGAAATATCCTGGGGATGAGAATGAAATATATATTGAAAGCGCCAGGTGTCCATATGAAAATTGCAATGAAATATCCTGGGGTTGAGAATGAAATGTATATTGAAAGCACCAGGTATCCATATGAAAATCGCAATGAAATATCCTAGAACAATGAGATATGCGATCTCATTGAACCTCTAGGCATTATACACATCGCCCTCCAGGCATATGTCTGGTTTTTATCATAAAAGTGTATACCACCCATCAAACTATGGTCTTTTACCTCCACGACTTGAGGTAGCGAGACACGTCATGTGGGATGATTACCAAGCGAATATGCCCGAACATCTACAAGAGTATAAAGACAAACTGGTTGAAGAATGGGTTCAATCTGGCCGGATGGTGAACAAGCACCCCTACCAGAGAAAGCCCGCATATTATCCTCAATTTCGAGATGGGGATCGCTCAGATTCCTTTCGAGCTTGGAGTCAAACTCAAGGTTCTATGCCGAGGGACCCTGGAACTCAGGACCAGGGCCAGCCTTCAGTTTTTGGGAGCGTAACCTCTGTAGACCATAAACACTTGCCTCCAACCAATTCAATTTCTATGGCTCTAAGTCGAAATCACCCACTCAGCCATTTCCCCGATCGCAACTCTAATGTTATAGGAATAACGACGAAAACACCAGAGGATAACGATCCTCATAACCCTTGGGTCACTGTTCATCATAGTCGCTCTCGAAGTGGTCGTTTGGGGCTGAGTCAGCCTAGCAAAAGCATGTGTTTTGCTAGTCCCCAGGAGGAGCGACGGAATCCATCCCCCGATTGATTTTCAGTCACCAACTATTCTAGTCACAATTGTCTCGGGAGGAACGTGGGGCCGTCAAGTGGAGGTAGACCACCAGGCGGTGGAGGGCCTCCGGATGACAATGATCCTTCAGGTGGAGGAGGACCATCAGGGCCTAGGAACCATTGATCGGACGGGTATCCAGCACGTTCGGGAAGTTATCAGTGCAATCCCCGGCAGGGACCCCCTGGTGGTAGTCCTCCTGGTGGAGGTCCTGGCTTTAGTCTCGAACCGGACGAAGAAAAAGGGAAAGGGGATTGGCAGCTGAACAACAAAATTAGCATTGCAATGATACCACAATGGGATGGGAATCCTACAACTATGATTGATTACATCATGGAAATCGCGCTGCTTGCTCGCCTTTCGAAAAGGATCTTCAAGGAGATAGGTCAGATAGCTCCTATACGATGGACAGGTCTAGCGAAGGGTTGGTGGATGAATCTACCTAGTGCGGATCAGGCTTATTTCTCGCAAGATTGGGAATGTCTCGTATCGGGGATACGAGATCACTTCATGAACGACGAATGGCTCAACGACAGGGGTATCGAATTCGATGCTATGCGTTTCAGACGTGGTAATCAGTACACACGCGAGACTCCCGAAGAATATTTTAACCGACGAATTCGTCTGAACATGGTCCTTCACCCGGAAGAAGTTGATGGTCCTACGGTCACTCACAGACTTATGAATCGACAGCCAATCCTGTGGGGATCGATCCTTAACACTGCTACATGCCCTAGTGTGGTGCAGTTAATAAAGCTAGCCAAGTCCATGGAAGCTAATCTAATCGCGCAATACTACAACGGATTGTGGATAGAAAAGTATAAAGCGGCTAATATTGTGGAGACAACTTCCCCCGTAAACTCAGAGAAGAGTCACGGAGAAACCACACCAGCTACGTCTAAGGAGGCACATGTGGTATTCAAAGGAGGACCGAAGAAGCAGACAGATTGGCCGAAAGGAAAGACTATTGCGGGGTACAGCTACTGCCGAGACGACTCAGTAGTCAGCAAGATTCCCCCTCCTGGTCCTTGTTTCATCTGCCTCAGTCCTAAACATTTCTTCTGGGATTGTCCTCATAACGCCAGGTTCTTCGCAAAATCAGCGCATTCAGCAGACGTAGTAATAGATCAAGAGGAGATAAGGGACTTGGACATAGAGTACTACAACCATATCGCGGCCGCTATGACATCTTCTTCCACTTATGTGCTGTCTGATTCTAAGTCTGAATCATCAAGTGTCCCAGAGATCACAGATAAATGTAATCGGAATGAACGAAGGCGTGAGAAATTCGATATGAAGACGAAGCACAAAGGAAAGCAGAAATTAGAAGTACTCCCCTCAGAGAATAGAGCAACTCGGCGAAGGATGAAACTACCTAGGCTAGCCGCCGCAGCATCGTCTAAGCCTTCTCTAAACGATCCAGAGGCTTATAGATTGGAGGAGCAATTGTTCTCGGATGAGGAGAATATCTCTGATTATCCAGACCCAGATACTAGCGACTCTGGATCGCAGTCCAGTAGAGGGGATGAAGAGTCCACCTCCACCGAGTCATCTTCCTCTTCCTCTGTGAATTTACCGTCTTCATCAGCAATGAAAATGGAGTCGCGAAGGGTGACCATAGAAGAG